TGAGCCACCGCACCCAGCCGGGAAGTTCTTTTTAAAAAAGATTTTTTTAAGTAGCAGTCAGGGTTCTGAGGTGCCCTTCTCTTGTACCACCTTCCAAGTTGCCAGTTCACACACAGTCGCTTATCGGTTCCCATGCTCAGCGTGACAGGTCTTGTGAGGAGTCCTAGTTCTTACTGAGACCTGATCCGAAGGAGACGTGCGCAGAGACCCAGGTTCCAGCCCGGGGCCGGCTTCCTCCGAGCTCTGCCTCCTGCCAGGTGAGGCTCCTGGGAGGGAGGGGACCTCTGAGAGCCCGGAGCAGTCGGGGCGGGGCTGCAGGCTCAGGGACGCCGCGGCCCTCCGTGTCCCCTGGGGAGAGACGGCACCGAGGCGTGGCGATGGGGGCACTGGGCGTCTTCACCCACCTGGGAACCCACTTCCTGCGGGAAGTGCGGGCAGCCTGGCTCTTCGCCCGCAGCGGCCCCTTGTCTTTGGGCTCTCCCAAGGGCAAAGAATGTTTATGGAGACGCGTAGGGAAAGAGGGGGGAGGGGATTAGAAACAAACTTCTAACCATCTTCAAAGTCTGGGACACTTCAGGTAGCCCTGGGGAGGCACGACCTGGCTTGGGAGGCACGACCTGGCTTGGGAGGCACGACCTGGCTTGGGAGGCACGACCTGGCTTGGGAGCCAGGTGCGCGAGGCGCAGGACTAGGACGGACCTCCGCAGCCAGGAGGCAGCGGGGTGGCCTCCACCGCCCGGCCAACCCAGCGTTAGCGCCACCCTGGGGACCATACCCAGAGCATTGGTTCTCAAAATGTGAAACACGAACCAGCTCTTTCGAAATTACCTGGAAAGCGTCTGTTTAAAAAGCCTGCCCCCCTGGGCAGCCTCCACCCCCTCCACCAGAAGCTGGGTCCCAGAAATCTGCATTTTTCTCTAAAAGATCTCAGAGTGCTCCTTAGACTTGCTTAAAACAACAACAAAACAAAACCTATGAACCTAGAGGCTTTTCAAGTCTAAATGTCTCAGACACGCAGGGTGAACCATCGCGAGGCCTCACAGCTCTGCCCCATTTCTAATCACGCCCATCGCAGACCACAGAGCAGCTGGCAAGCCCGGGAAACGGTGGGCTGAAGATCTGTGTTTTTCTATCTTATGAAGGGCTCAGCAGCATTTCCTGTACCCTGTGCATCATTAGCACATCGGTGGCGTCGCTTCCTGTGACTGACTCTCTGTTTCCATTCTGGCGAAGTGGTTTGGTCTCTTTGCTCTTCTTTGGGGTTAGAGCAAGATGAGTTTCTCACAGAACCTCTCCTAGGCCTCTGGGCAGTTTCCCACTCTGGGCACCTCACGTTTCCACCAGAAGGCAGAGGCCGTGGACTCCCCCTGAGCCGCCTCGCTTTGGAGCACCGGCCCCCGGCTGAGATCTCACCTCCTGCAGCGGGCATCGTAGCCACGTTCAGGTAGAAACCAAACGTGTTGTTTTTGTATGTTGGGTCAACTCAGCCTGACATTTCAGGGGTAGACACAAGGTAGGGAGTTTGTGGGGGGAACGAAAGCTCTAGAAAGAAAGATTGGCTGCTTTAGGAAAAAAAGGACTAAAAACCAAAAGTTTTTTTGTGAAGGACTTTGATGAATTAAGCTTTAACAAGGAATTTTTAAAGTAAAAAGTTGTGCATTAGGTAGTGTTTGGAAGACATGGAGATCAGGACAATTTCTCTCATTTTATATTATCTACTAAAAAGAAAAGTGGTTATATGCAAAACACAAACAAATCTGCCTTTTCTCCTGGGATTCAGCAATTTAGGAAAAGGCAAGAAAACTAGTAGACATGCTGCCTACTGATTACGATTAAGAGAAGACTTAGAAGCCGAAGCCAGAGAGCATCTCAGAGGTTCCTGAGACAATGGATGTCACCAACCTGACCTTTTCGGAACTCAGAGGGAGGACCCCAGAGCCCAGAACGCTGTGGGTGACTCCCACCAGCCTGGACAGGTGAGTGATTCAGGGTGGTGAGCGCCGCCCTCCCAGATGTAATCAATCAGAGGGTCCTGGTCCGCCCTGGGGAGCTTCTAACACAGCAGTGCTGCTGCCCCTCACACCGAGGCTCAGGTCCACTGAGACCACCAAACTCTAGGCTCAGAGACATTTGCTCAGGGCTGCTGGGAGGACAGGAAGGTATTGAGGAAGGAAAGGAGATGTTGTAGGAGAGGAAAAACTGTGATAACGCAAATGCTTGGAGCTAGCTGCTTTGACTTCTCACCTCTCAGAGGCCCTGATCCCTGCCCTCAATCTTTCCTATCTCAAGTCCCACTGGTCACTCCTCAGACAACAACGACAACAAACTCAGTCTTGCCGTGACAGAAACAAAGGGCCCAATTTCCTGAGGATGTATTTTTAGATGCTTAAAACTTGCCATGAATGAAAATTGTAATAACAGCTGTAATAAAGATATGTCTTTTTGGGAATATTAAATACCTTTATTTAAAGGTTCTGGAAGATGAGTTATTTTTAACTGACATGCAGGCTAATCTGAAGATCTCCATTGCTAGACAGCAGATTACACATGTGAGGCTCCTTGTTCAGAGCTTCTCATATGTGGTGGAGCTTGAGTCACTACCTCACCCATTTCTTCATCTGTAAAATGGGAGAAGAGAATCTACCAAAGTCTGAGAATTAAGAGAACAGATAAACATGAAGCATCTGCTACACTGCCCTGTCACCACCAGCATTGTCCTGCTGCTCTGACTCCCGTGGCAGTGCACGGACACAGGGTTGCTACGAGTTAGTGAGAAGATTTGACCTTATTAGAATCACTGTGCTGTTGTAACTGTTGGCATAAGTCATTTGAAACACCAGCACCAGACCAGGCCAGCTTCGATGGCTTGTGCCTGTAGCTTTCAGCCTGTGCTTACAACTGAGGCCACCGCACCTCCGCAGACGTTGGGAGACAAACTTCCAAGTCCAAGGGTGGCCAGGGTTGGGCTCCTGCCGCTGCAGGTGGGTCTACCCAAAACCCGCTACAAAGTACTAGCAGATCCGTCTGCCCAACTGCACGGGACAAAGAGAAAGATATGTCTTTAGGACATAAAATCTCACAGCACTAATCATGGGTGTAAATTATTGCTAATGTTTTCAATCTCATACAAACAGAAATAAAAGGTTCATTAGGAGTCGAAACTTTAGGAACATTGGCAGGTGTTTCAGTGCTATTATAAATAAATAAATAAATAATAAATAAATTTCAGTACTATTATAAAAATACAACCCAAGGATAATAAAGTTAAAAATTTGCTATAATTTTGGGAAATAAATGTTATTATGGAAAATGCAGGTAGACATGGCAATGATGAGGAATGAGTTCTTCTTTTTCTTTTTCTAATTTTTTTATTTTTCAAAAATGTTTTAAAATATGGGGTGCTTCACTAATTTGTGTCATCCTGACACCGGGGCCGTGCTAATCTTCTCTGCATCGTTCCAATTTTAGTATACGTGCTGCCAAAGTGAGCACGAGAAATGAGTTCACAAAAGTTGTTAGAAGCCTGAAGCACCCCCCCAAAACCATTTCTTTTTAAATTTACTTTTATTTATTTTTAATTGATGAATAAAAATTATATATATTTATTATAACAACATGTTTTGAAATATGTAAACTGCGGAATGGCTAAATTGAACTAATTATGCATTACTTCGCATGCCATTTTTTGTGGTAAGAACACTTAAAATCTCTCAGCAATTTTCAAGAACACAATATGTTTTTATTAACTGCAGTCATCATGTTGTACATTAGATCTCTTAAACTTATTCCTTCTAACAGAAATTTTATCTTCTTTGACCAGCATCTCCACAACCCTTTCCTCCTTCGTCCCCTGGTAACCACCGTCCTACTCTCCACTTCTATGGGTTCAACTTTTGTAGATGCCACATATAAGTGAGACGAGGACGCATTTGTCTTTCTGTGCCTAGCTCATTTCATTAACATAATGTCCTCCAGGTTCATCCATGTTGTCACAAATGACACGATTTCCTTCTTTTTTAAGGCTGAGGAGTATCCATCATGTATGTACACCACATCCTCTTTATCCATTCACCTGTCAGTGGACACTTAGATTGTTTCCCACATCTTGGCTGCTGTGAATAATGCTGCAATAAACACAGGAGTGTTGACATCTCTTTGACATATATATTTCATTTCATTTCCTTTGCATATACGCCCAGCAGTAGGATTGCTGGATCATATGGTAGTTCTATTTTTAATTTTTTGAAGAACCTCCATACTATTTTCCATAATGGCTATACTACCCCCAAAACTATTTCTATATTCATTCATTCATTTATTAATTAATTCACTCATTCATTTAATAAATATTCATCAGGACCCTACTAAGTACCAGGCACTGTTTAAGGCACCAAGTGAGCAGGATAGACAAGCCCATGATTTCCCAAAGCTTACAGTCCAGTGGGACAGTCAGGTGATAAACAGATAGACAAATGGATATATACAACATCAAGCAGTAACCAGTGCTATGAAGAAAAAGTAGACCAAAGCAAGGGGACTGCAAGTCATAGATTGTGGCCTGGGAAGACCTGCCTGAGGAGGTGACATTTTGGAAGAGGCCTGGATGAAATGAAGGACTGAGCCATGCAGACAGCTGGGATAGGAGGGCGCCTGGGCTAGGGAGTGACAAGTTTGAGTCAGAACAGCACTTTGCATGGCCAAGGGACAGCAAGGAGGCTTGGCAGTCACAGTCAGAGGGACAGTGGCAGGAAATAAGGTTAGAGGGTAGGTAGAGGCCAGATCACATGGTGTCATTCAGCCCTCACTGGGTGGGGACTATAGACTTTGTTCTAAGTGTGGTGGGAAGCCCTGGGAATTACAAACAGAGGCGGAGCATGATCTGAGTCACTGTTTAGAATGATAGCACTGGCTCGTGTTAAGACAGTACGTTAGGGCCCAGAGCGAAAGCAAGGAGACCCATTGTGAAGGTTATTGCAAAGGTACATGTGGAACTCAAGGTGGCTTAGACCAGGTGGTTGGGTTAGGGATAGTGGGCCAAGCTAAAGCAGACAGAGTCTGCTGACTAACTGGGAATGGGACATGAAAGGAAAAGAGCTGTCAAGAATGGCTCCAGGGTTTTCGACCAAGCCACCAAATGACAGGAAACCCCAGAGAGGGAGTAGGTCCACATATGGAGAACAGGAGCTCTGTCTTGGTTTGAGATGTCTGTTAGGCAGCTAGAAAGGCCCAGTAGAAAGTTGGGTAAATAAGCCTAAAACTCAGGGGAACAAAATCCTTCCCTGGTAGATGACCTGGTTTTCTAATATCTGGGAGTAGTAAGTCAGCTTACTGATTCCTGCTGTGACTTCTGTTGGCTGCTTCCTGTTACAGTAGACACAGCCCTCTGGGGTTGCGATCATTTGGACGCTTTTCAACACTCAAACAAAGTAAGGCAGTAACTCCAGCCCTGCCGGGGAATGGCAAGGTAGCGCAGAACTTGCGCTGGTTAGCTTCCACACAACAGTAGAGTGTTGCTTGGAGACCAGCTGCACAAGTTGATACTGCGGGGGTCATTCAAGTTCAAGCACGCTGGACTCTTGTCACAGGCCACTCCCTAATTGTGAGTTGGGTAATCCTCTCCTCTGAGCAAGCCAGGAAGCCCAGGAGCAGGGAACGAGAAGACACAGGGCTCACTGGATTTGACTTTGCAAGTTTGGAGGACAGTGTGGTAGAGTGGAAAGATCATAGTCTTTGGACCCAAATAGACCTAGATTCACATTCCTTCTCTGCTCGCTCCTACCTGTGAAATCTTTGACATGTTACTTTACATTTCTGAGTCTAAACCTCCGGTTAGTTGGCCACAAAGCAAGATAGGTTTGTTGTAAAGATTAAATAAATCTCATATGCAAACTCCTGGCACCCAGTAGGCCTCCAAAAGGGATAATTCCCTTCTCCCAGGCCCAAGTCGGAGATAACCCTCTCTTCCACCACGCTTTCCACCCTCCTCAGCTTTCCCTCCCTGGGCTCCCATTCCAAACCTTCATGCTCTAACTCCTGAAGGAACTGTCTCCTCCAGCCTCCCCACCCTCCTGCAGCCGGGCCATGACATTTGGTTGTCCTCCTAGAGATACAGGCCAGAGCAGCAGCATCTTTTCCGGGTCTGTGGGACTCCTCGCCATCCTCCTGGTCGTCATAGTTTTCTGCATCCTGTGCAAATGGAACAAACGGAAGAAGCGTGAGTCCCTTGTTGGTCCTGAGTTGAGACACAGTAGGATTAATAATCCAGCCTGAAGCCGGGCGTGGTGGCTCGCGCCTGTAGTCCCAGCTACGGGAGACTGAGGCAGGAGGATCGCTTGAGCCAAGGAGTTTGAGGTTGCTGTGAGCTAGGCTGACGCCATGCACTCTAGTCCAGGCAACAGTGTGACACCTTGTCTCAAAAAATAAATAAATGAATAAATAAATAAATAATCTAGCCTGGCATTTAAAGCCCAGTTTATTTTCCAGGGATAAACCGTTGCACTGGGGAGTCCTCGGTTCTTTCTTATCCGACACATTGGCCATTGTCTCACTAAGATCCTCAGCCGTGGCTCCTAAGGCCCAGTGCTGATCTGAGTTCCCCTGGGAAAGACATTGCCCTAGGACCCCTGTGCCCAGTGTCCTCTTCCTGCTTCTGTCCACCGAGTCCCGTATTCCTCTGGTGCAAGTGGAAATGCCTCTAGCTCAAGTCCGAAAACAAGTTTCTGATGAGTCCTGGTGAGGGTGGGGAATCCTTCCAGCAGCCACCTCGTCCCCACACTCCATGCCGCTGACCCCGCTGACCCTCTCTCTCTCATCGTCTTGCAGGACAAGTTCCATACCTCCAAGTCACCGTCAGGCCCCTAACTCTGCCACGACCCAGACAACGAGCCAAAAATATTTATGACCCCTTGCCTCGGTGGCAAGAAGAGCTGGGTAGGTTTTTCCTTCTAGTCCATGGAGTCCAGATGTTCAAACTTCCGCACACAGAATGTACCTCTCACCACCCGGAAGCAACTTTCTCTAAGCTTTCAAACCTGTCTGCCCTCCGGAGAGTGCCAAGGAGAATGGGACAGACAGACTGCAAGCTGCAACTCAGGGGGCACGGGCTGGCGGGGTGGGAGGCAGGCAGAGAGCTCTACAAAGGGAGCAGAGGGTCTTCTGGGCTGGGGTTTTGTTTTTATTTTGTTTTCTTTGCCCCGCCCTCTCTGGGTAGGAGTTTTGTCTTTCCTTGATGTTAAGGCAGCAGCGGAAAGCCCAGTGTGTCCAGGCACGGGGAAGACACGCAGGAGAACATGGTGCCAGCATTATAGGCAGGGGATGGGGGGGGCCTCTGCAGGAGCTTCCTTCTCAGCCTCCCCAACCCCTGTGCTAGCACCCTCTAGTGCCACAGAAGCTGAGGGGGCTTCCAGGTCTCAGAGCATGTCCCCTATAGCTTTGACCCTTTCAACTCAGAACACCAGGCCCCAGGCTGGGAATTCCAGACACCACGCAAACCCAGTTCACCCACGATGCTGGGATGGTTTAGGCTGAAGCACTCGGAGGACTGGCTAACTATCTTCAGGATTTATTCTCTGTCCTTTCAGGGAGACGTCAGTCAAGAGGTAGCCCTATTTTCAGTACTGAGAGCCTCTTCTCCAGAAATTCTGACAGCCCTGAGCATGTGGTAAGAGTCAAGTGAGACGGCAAGCTTGTTGGGAGAATGACACGTCTCTGGCAGAAGAACTGAGGGGAAGAGTTCCAGGGCTCGGGTCGGGTTTCACTGCAAATAGCATGTCCTTGGGCACTGACCCTGCAGCCCTATTAATAAATTGGGAAGACCAGCCTCAGGACTTCCCTATATCCAAGGAGAAAAATTAAGAAGGACAGGAGTAAGTGCTTAGGATTTTAAGAAAGGCATCGGAGTACATGTATTCAAGTCCATGATGTTAGAACTGAAATCGATCGTTTTAACAAACACATTGATAATGTGCTTATCCAAATGAGTGTTGTTCCCTTCAAAGGAATCACCTCAAAAGGATACACAAATGTTCCAACGATGCTGTTGGTGCTCAAAACGCACTTAAAACCCTGCTTTGGGAATTACTTGTAGGGCTTGTGTCCAATTGTTTCAATTATCATTCGCAGCAGAAATATCCGTAAGTCATTCAGCACTGTAGCTGATGTAGAAAGTATTTGATCAAAAATCAGATAACCTTTGAGGTTGCCAGGGGAATGCTACAATGAACGGCAATGATCTGTGAGTCTTACGATCTGGCTCGGAAGGCAGCTCCCAAGGAGGAGTCCAATAACAGTTTGTTGCAGAGGCACAAGGGAGAGTAGAGGGGCTACTTAGAAGATTGGGGTGCTGATTTTTATAGACAGGTTGTTTGTTTAAAAATCAGTCCCTTTGGTTTTGTGGGTGAGTGCACCGATGTCACTGATGAAGACTGTGGTTACGCAGCCTCTCGTTACCCAGAGGTTTAGGTTCAATTACTATACAGCCACCTGTTTGCTGCTACCTGCCCTTCCTCCTCCTCCCACTCCTTGGACTCTGCTCCCGCCTGGAAGACTTCCTGGAGTAGCAAGTGTGAGTGGCTGATAAAATGCAGGGAAGAGGAGACGCCATTGCCAAAGCTGGTTCCAGGACTTGGGTGGGCCCTGGGGGGACTGTGCATTTAGAATTTAGGTTCCAAACTGTCTTAAGGCCACAGATATGTTTGGCTTGGACTCTATAGTGTTTGAAGAACATTTTAAGTAAGTTGTCCACATTTAAAAATTGAAGATATTTGAAAGTCCAGATGTCCAGCTTTTCTTGAAAATTCAGAAGTTCTGGAAACATCAAACCAGCACCCCTAAATGGCAATAATCAGCTAAGTCTGTGTATCAGTTGTCCCTTTAATAATGATGGCAAGCGTCTTTTAGTGTTTTCTATGTGCCAGGAGCTATGCTAAACACTTCATATAATAATCCATTTACTCCTTACAAAACCTTATGATATAGATATTATGATGATTCTCATTTTATAAATTAGGAAATGAAGAGCCAGAGAGTGTAGGTAAAGTGCTCAAACTCACTCAACATAAAGTGGGAAGGCTGGGATTTGTAGCCTCAGTCTGAATCTAAGCCTCCCCCTTTAGCCACTAAGCTATACTGCCTCTCAGTGTGATCTGAGGAGGCAAGCTCTCTCCGGTTTGTAATACTGTCAGAGTTCGGAGTCAGTAATCTTATCTGTTCTCAGTTCTTGGTGTGCTCTTGGCTGAAGAATGACCAGACACACCAAAAGCAAGGCAAGCACGAACCGAAGTTTATTAAGGAAGGACAAGATAGGTTTACAGAGCAAGAGCAAGATACGTTGGCCACCGAATGGCAAATGGACCCCTCTGTCGTACCAAAAGTCTCTGATTATGGTCCGGAGTCTGGGTTCTTAGTGTCTGGATTGGGTCTACCTCATGGTTCAGGTGTCACCATGGAACCATTTTGATGGACAGTTAACTAACAACATGATAATAATTAGCCTTAGGTTACTCTAGGTCATGTTCCATTCTTTTGCAGATTAGCAAGGGTTCCTCCTTCCCCCAGATGTGGCAGTTGCTCAGAGCAGGATTAAGGTGGGGCAGCACCAAGACTTGTGGGGGGGATACCCCTGTCCTTCTTCCCAGATGAGGCAATTGCTGGAGGCAGCACCAAGACAAGGCACACACTTCTGTCACCTAGGAAGAGTCTCGGAGGTCCCTTGCTATCTACCTAACAATACTTTCTCCCCACTCCCCATTGAACACCCGCACTGTGGCCAAAAGCCAGCTGCAATTTGTCATCACATTTACACTGCTGCTCTTCTGAAACTCAGCCTACTGCACTCATACTTACCTGCTTTGTAGAGCCGTGCAGTTTGGGACCCCTGATTTAGAGCTTTGCTCCAAGGTGGAGAACCAAGTGAAGGAACTATGCCAGCCGCGCGGTGCCAGGAAGAAAGGCTTTGTCCATATTTCTGCTTCCATCCTATCACTGGCTTTCTCTTTCCCTCATAGCCTTCCGAAGCAGGAAATGTCTCCCAGGTGCATAGAGCGCATATCCATGCCATGGAGTACGCGGTGGGTATCTATGATAATGCCACGGTGCCCCAGATGTGTGGAAACCTCACTCCCTTGGCACAATGCACCGATGTCAGAGCTTCCAGAGACTGCACGAGCATTTCTTCAGAGGATTCACATGATTATGTCAATGTCCCCACAGCAGAAGAGATTGCTGAGACTCTAACGTCTACCAACAGCCCCTCCAGAAATCTGCTTGTTCTTCCAAGTGCCCAGGAGCTGGAGTTTACTAAAGAAACAGACGAGGACTGTAGGAATGCTGTTAACTGCACCAGTTTTTGGTCTCCAGGAACTGAGGGCAGTGAGCCACTCAGTGATGGGGAATGCTCTTCTCAGACCTCAAATGACTATGTCAACATGACAGGGTTGGATCTCAGGGTCATCCAGGAGACGCAGCCTCAGGTGGCTTGTCAGTGCTGCAGAGACTATGAAAATGTCCCACCAGCAGATCCCAATGGAAACCTGCAGCAGGCTGAGGAAAAAGCGACATCCTCAAACACAGGCCATGTTGAGGGCAGGACAGATGGTCCAGAGACCCACATCCAACCTGTCAGAAAAAGGTCCTTGGCTTCAGAGGATTATGTGGCCTTTGAGCCATCCACACAGAGTGCGAACACTCAGATGAAACACAGAGAAGAGATGTCAGATGAGGACTCTAATGACTATGAGAATGTGCTGGCTGCCAAGCCAGGCAGCAGGGACTCTGAGCATGGGCCTGGCACTCAGCTCCTTCCTCATGAATTAAAATCCAGTCACCTGGCTGGAAAGCCACATGCAGTGGTCTATCCTGCTAGATCCTTAGCCACTGCAGAGTCTAGTGAAGACCCTTGATCACTCTAGTATTTCAATGCATTCACTTGGGTAAGCTGAAAAGAGGCTGAGATGAGTAGGGAGCTAAGAGGCTGCACGAAAGCAGAGGTTTCAGAAAGCCAGAAAGGATTCTTCTCAAGCAGGGTGCTATTATTTCTCATACCAACCTGAGAATGTTTGCTGAAATTGCCTTGTAGAACTGTTAGGAAATGAAAAACAGGAAAGTACTTTAGTGCACAGTGGAAGTAGGAAGTAGTCTAAAATCACTACCTTCACTGGTACCAGCAGACTACATAGCAAGAGTATAGATTATTTTATAATCCAAGCAGAGGCCAAAAGGAAGGAAGAAGTTGGGGGGGGTAGGTGGGCAATTGCCATTTTAAAAAGAGTATGGACAACCAATTGCTGGTGGGGATACGAAACAACAGGAACTCTCGCTTATCGCCAATGGGATTGCAAAGCGTAACAGCCACTTTGGGAAACTGTTCAGCAGTTTCTTAGAAGCATATACTTATCATACGACCCAGCCATTCCACTACCAGGAATTGATCCAAGTGAACTGAAAACGTGCATTCACACAAAAGCCCACACATGGCTGTTTATAACGGCTTCATTCATAATTGCCAAAAACTAGAAATAACCCAGATGTCCTTCAACAGGTGATTGGATAGACAAACTGCGGATATCCATTCCATGAGTTTATCCACGCTCAACAGTAAAAAGAAATGGACTGAACTCCCAGTTCACACAATATGGACAAATCTTAAATGCATTTTGCTAAGCAAAAGAGACTAGGCCTAAAAGCCTACATATTGTATGATTCCATTTATGAGTCATTCTGGAAAAGGCAAAACCACAGGGATGGAAAACAGATCAGTGGTTGCCAGGTTTGGGAAAGGAGAGGAGTTTACTACAAAGGGGCTGCACAAGGGAATTTTTAAGATAATGGAGCTGTTCTACATGGTCCTACATGACAATATGCATTTGTCAAAACCCAAAAACTGTGTACCACAAAGAGGGACTTTTACTGTATGCAAATTTTAAAAAATTAACTAGGCTGTGGGGGAACCCAGGATGGTATGCAAATTGTGACAAATAAATCTAATTGTATTACAGATGTATGACATAATCTCACTGAAGGGGATGGAGGGAAAAAGAATTGACAGTTAACTTTTTGTTTTTCTTTTGAGACAGAGTCTCACTCTGTCACCCTAGGTAGAGTGCAGTGGTGTCATTGTAGCTCACTGTAACCTCCAACTCCCAGGTTCAAGTGATTCTCCTGCCTCAGCCTCCCAAGTAGCTGGGACTACAGGTGCGCACCACCACGCCCAGCTAATTTTTCCATTTTTAGCAGAGAAGGGGTCTCACTCTTGCTGAGACTAGTCTTGAACTCCTGAGCTCAAGTGATCCTCCTCCTGCCTCAGCCTCCCAGAGTACTAGGATTACAGATGTGAGCCACACTACACCAGGCCCTGACATTTAACTTTGGAAAACAGTGTTTTGACTTGTAACTGTCAGAGGAAGACATAAAGCTCTGTACACAAACACTACAGCTCTAGTTGTAAATTTGTATCTCACAGAAGTATAGCAATTCTGAAACTACTTCAAATGTATACTTGGAGTAAACAAATACATAAATCTATTGTAAATAAGGAGAGGCCAGTTAGTGTCGGAATGGAATTGAATTGCAGGATACCCAATTGGTGTCCACAGAGCTGGAGTATTGACTGGTGTGGGGAAAAAAAAAACCTCATACATCTGGTGTTGGAAGTGTGGTGATTGAAAACAGACCATTACTCCACAAGCGGGGGGGCATTTAAATTCATGCTACACGGAGGGCACCGTGACAGTCTGGTACTGGTGGCCAGTTAGGGTTAGTGAGCCAGGGCAGCAGCAACACAGAGAGCAGCAACCTCATCTGGTAAAGTAAGGAGAGATTTGTATCAGATGTGAGCATGAAGCTTAAATGAACAGAACAAAATTTTTAAAACTGTCATGAAAGCATTCTCATAACTAAGAGAGGATGAAAAATTATGGGATCTAAATGAGAAGTTGTTAAGAGAGTTATCAGCCAGTAGGAAGTACTACTGATCAGTCGCGGGCAGAGCCTAGAAAAAATTTAAGCCAGCTCCCGTTTATACCCCGAGGCAGACACCTCAGTAAACCAGTTACACTTACACATTCTCCTAATCTAGAATGATTAATACTAGAAACAAAAAATTAGCTGGGCATGGTGGCGCATGCCTGTAGTCCCAGCTATCCGGGAGGCTGAGGCAGGAGGATCGCTTGAGCCCAGGAGTCTGAGGTTGCTGTGAGCTAGGCTGACGCCATGGCACTCTAGCCCAGGCAACAGAGTGAGACTGTCTCAAAAAAAAAAAAAAAAAAGATTAGTAAATTGTAGATTGTCTCATATTAGATAGGTAACTGCTCTGTTTATTTCCTGTTCTGAAAAATTTTATAAACACATCAGTGAAAATCTTTTTATTAAATTTTAATTCTTTCTTTCCCTTTATAGTTTTGTTTTGTGACATTAGTTGCCAGGAAATTTTGAGTAATTGTCTCATTTTATATGCTTGATAATGCTAAATATGAGGAAATTTTTTCAAGTTAGGACAGGATGAGAAAGTAGATATAAAGATAATTAATCCGTTGTGACTTCTTTTTTTTTTTTTTAGCATAATACCATGGGGCTTTATCGTCAATTTTGGTTTTCCTGTGGGCTAAGGGTCTATACTGACTTGCAAATACTTCTAGAAACTCCAAGTCAAAAAGCCAGTGTCCCGCTCCCCTGGAGTTAGAGGAAAATGGAAATACGCAGGCCTCTCTTCCCTCTAGCCAACCATTTCCCACCTGCAGACCAGGAAGGTGATGTTTGTTTCTGCCCGGAAGGGTCAGGGTCGTTTCAGAAGAATGTGACAACATAGCCAGCACCTTAACCTTTTCCCCCATGTCAGATGCTCCTCTGACTCCCCAGGGGAAACGGAAGGAACCGGAGGCCCTTCACAAGACAGCAATTTCCCACGCAGGGCCGGCGTCACGGACACGCGACCTGTGCAGTTGCACAGAGCCCAGCGCTCAGAAGGGCCCCTCCGCTTGCTTTAAGGTTCTGTTGTCACATCTTGAAATTCTCAACTTCGAAGAAATTCTTATCTTTGAACTTGTGTCTTGTAAACGAAGTCTGGGGGAAGAGAGGATACCCGTGATACGCATGTCTATCATTCGTTGCCTTCTGTTCACGTGTACTGTTTGCGATGTCCCACGAGTGGAGAGTTCTGGCAGACCCACAATTCATGGACGTTCGGCAAGACTCAGAGTGAGTACAAGGTAAGCATGTTGCGTCTACAACTGAGTAAGCAAGAACACCAACAATCCCCAGAGGTTGTGTTTTCAGTTGAAATCAGAATTTGCTTTGAACACAGAAACCAATGGTGTTCTAAGAAACACAAATGACCAAGGAGACCTATCATATCCTGTCTTGCTTGTGTTACTTCCCTATATCAGTTAACCAATTATACTGAAAATAATGGCATGGCAGGAAACCAGAAAAAGGGGAACCCATAGTTCATTTTCTTGTCAGTCTCCCCCCATTCATCAGCCTCCCCCCACTCATCAGCAAGTTGATGGGAGACGGTGTTGGTAGAATGTGCATGAAGTGTCAAGAAGTGGGGCAGAGACGGTTGAGTTCGCTGTGTGCGGTGTTTCCACTGTATTGGTAAGAACTAAATATAGTCCCTGCTTATTATGCACAGTAGCTATGTTCTGTAATGTCACGGAGAACACTGACTGAGTGAAACCTTGCCTCCAGGGGAAATACAGGGTTAGGGTCCTATCAGCCACTGGTCATACCTTTTTTATCAATTGACCAATACATACCTTGTTTTATGTGTATTTTTGTTCAAAGGCACAATATAATATACCTTATTTAATATATATTGTTGATTCCTTAACATTGAACTCATGACTACTGGCATTATAACTCATACCTGAAAGCAGCTTATCTAACACATGTATTTTCTCCATAAGGCACATCACAGCCTCCTTGCACTTAGGGACACCAGACAGCACTTCAGTACTGTGCCTCAGGGCCATTTGAAACACTGAAAGTACCAAGAAAAAGCACAAAAATGCAAAAAATGTGGCACTAAGTAGACTGCAAAAAAAGACTGTTTACACTATGAGAGCTTTGCCTTGTTCAGACTTAGGTGGGCAGACGCACGTGGGCCAGCTCTGCACATGCTCATGTCCATGAATGACAAAGACTGCCAAGAGTATTGATTTGGGGGACTGAGAATCAACTGCATTTATGCATATACAAGCCACAAAATAAAAATGGTATAATTTTGGCGATTCCACGTACAAGTTAAATGCTGTTATATTTGCGTTTAAAGCTTGCATTGAACAATGTAAAGATGAATGGCCAAATTCATGCTAACAACTTAAACTGTTAACTTTACTTAGCATGGCACCAAATAGTAATTAAAAAACACCATGACAAGAGAGAGACTAGAAGAAAGGGAAAAGCTGTCTATTTTAGCACCTTCAACAAGTCTTTTTATACATATTTTTTGAATGAAGGGTCCTACAAATTATGTAGCCAGCCCTGTTCGCATGGGTCTGCCTTCCCTGCCCTCAGGTTTCTGTACTTACCTGAGTCTCTTCTTGGGAATACGGACCCTCCACCTCCCCACTCCAACCAAGGTAAACACATCCCTTCTCACAAGAAGAGCTCTTGCTCCCCCAGTTCTTCACTCTCCCCCCCAAAGTGTACCCCAAGTCTGTTTTGCAGTCTTGAGCGTTAGCTAGATAGATAGTAAATGAACATCCCCACCTATGCTAGCAGACCCCTGCAGGGAAAGAACAGTCCCAGTCCAAAGGTCAAACGGAAGATAATTCTTCCATCCATGTGTCCTTTTTGCTATTCTACCTGTGCAAGTGTTACCGAACCAAACTAGGGTCTGCTCTCCCAGTGCAGCAAAGCCAGGACACGGAAGCCTAAAGTTGCAGCAGGAGAAAGAGGCATTTTTATTACTTGGCACCAAGCAAGGAGAACAGGCAGCTAATGCTTAAGACACAAACTCTCTGATGGCTTACAAGCAAGTGTTTTTAAAGGCAGGTGTACATTTCAGGTAAGCAGAAGTTGCAGGCAAAATCGAAATCAATACGTGGAAGTTATATATTGGCCTGGACCAAAAAGGTGGGGTATATTGAAGCAAGGGCTTAAGGGTCATGGTAGATTCAGAGATTCTTTGATTAGCAATTGAAGGAATATTAACGTGGGTGTGACTCTCCCCAGGCCACTGAAGGAAAAATTTAGAAGAACGGAGGTCAGAGTTCAATTCCTCCATTCCCTCTTATCTGCATTTTCCATCCTGGGGTGGAGGGGAGGGTTCTGAAAAACAACTCTAGATCACATGTTAAGATGCCATCTTTCAGTCAGTACAAGGAACAAAAACACCAAGTGACTCTGGCCGGCTGGGAGGGCCACTGTTACTCCCATTCACTTCTCAAGGCTAGCTAGGTGCCCGGAACTTCCCCTGAAGGGACTCAATATTTTCCTTTATTTCCGTGCTTGGGGGCCCTGGCAGGCCTCTAAGAGGGGTCCCTGCTCCGTCTCACAAGATGTGGACCTCTCACGGTTCCTTCATTTAGTAAATCTGTTAAAATAATCCAATCTAAAACCATGGAAGTTCTAAAAAGAGATGAGGGGGAGGAAAGTTTTATAATCCCAGAGTGGTAAGGACCTTTCTAAACACGTGCCCAAACCCAGAGAGCCATAAAAAGATAGACGGATACATTTGACTGCTGTTAGAAATTGTCACAAACTTAGTGGCTTAAAACAACACAAATTTATTAGCTTACAGTTTTGGAAGTCAGATATCTGAAATGAGTCATAAAGGACTAAAACCAAGGTGTTAACAGGGATGTATTTCTTCTGAAGGCTTCAGGGTAGAGTCCATTTCCTTGCCTTTTGCAGCTTCTAGAAGCTGCCTGCATTCCATGTCTGGCAGCCCCTTCCTTCACCTTCAGAGCACGCACTCCAACCTCTGCTTCCGTCGTCACACCTCCTTTTGGACTCTCCCCTTCTTGCCTCCCTCTTGCAAGAACCCTTGCAATTACATTGGGCCCACTTGGATAATCCCCATCTCAAGATCCTTAATCAGATCCACAGAGTCCTTTTCACCATGCAAGATAACATATTCACAGGTTCCAGGGATTAGGACATGAACATCTTCTGGGGGCGAAGGCATTATTTTGTCTATCATACTACGTAATCCAATATCCCTGACGATAGAAGAACCTGATAATACCTGAAGCCCTGTTGTAAGATTCAGAGAATTAAAACGATAGGAGCCCACGTAGGCACATCTGGGTTTCAAAAGAAGAAATGAGGAAATAGAAAGAAGGCTGCTAGTTCTGGAACATTCTCTGGTTTCCTGATAAGATGATTTAGATTATGTATCAGATGTGGCATTAATTCAGGGAGGTTCTTCTTTCCTGGAAATCACAGTGAACATCAAAGCAGAAGCCAGCCATATAGAACCACCACCACTCTGGGAGATACCAGGCAGACGTATCAGGGGAGGTCTCCAGTTGTCCAAGTAAACACAAAGTCTACATATAGGCAAGATGCACTCAGAAGCTGAGAATCGCTGACAGAAGGTTGTATTCGTCCCAGGTGTCCTGGAGAACCCGGACTCTCTGTAAGAAGAGAAAGCCCATTCTTGACAATTGCCCACAATGCCTAGCACATTATTTAGCATAAGGTAAATGATGATGGTAATGAGAACCTAGTCAGCTCTTTTCCTAAACTAACCCAACATACAACAAAACCACAAGTACCTCATGTTATGGTTTGAATATGTCTCCCAAATTCGTGTGTTAGAAACTTAATTCCCAATGCAACAGTGTTGGGATGTGAGGCCAAATGAGAAGGGATTGGGTCATGAGGGTGAAGCCCTCATCAATGAATTAATGTTGTTGTCTCATGAGTGGCTTAGTTATCTCAAGAGTGGGGTGTTATAAAAGGGAACCTACCCCTGGTGCTTTCTCTCTCACGTGCTCACTTCTGCCTTCCGCCCTTCCACCACGGGATGAACCTCGCCAGATGCTGGTGCCATGCTATTGGACTTCCCAGCCTCCAGAACCATGAGCTGAATAAACTTTTCTTTATAAACTACCCAGTGTGTGGCATTCTGTTATAGCAACAGAGAATGGACCAAGGTACCACATTCCAAAATTAAATACAGTAAGTCCTCACTTTATGTCACCAATAGGTTCTTGGAAGCTTCAACTTTAAGTGAAATGTATAATGAAACCAATTTTTCCATAGGCTAATTGATATAAACAAGAGTTAAGTTCCTATGGCATGTTTCTGGTCATAAAAATATCCTCAAACTTCTAAGTAAAGACCAAAACACTTTTAATATTAAACATTGAAATAAATGTGAGCTATATATACATTTAAGAAAGATTAATAAAAAAAAAAAGTAAGATAACTATTTACCCAATTATTCCAGTTCAGGGTCTCAAGTGGCTGGAGCCTATCCCAGAAGCACAGGATGCAAGGTGGGAGCCAACCCTAGACAGGATACCATCCCATCACAAGGCACACCCACACTCACTCAGACTGGGACAATTTAGACATGCCAGTTCACCTACTGTGCACATCTTTGGGATGTGGGATGAAACCAGAGCACCCAGACAAAACCCACACAGACATGGGGAGAATGTGCAAACTCCACATAGACAGTGGCCCTGGACAGGAATCGATTATTTTTTCCTCATCAATATTATAACAAAATGACGTCGAATGAAATGATGTTATTTGAGGACCTACTGTACCAAGAAAAGCATTCCATATAGGAAATAAAACAGCATAAGGAAATATCGGGAGTGAAGAGAGGAAGACAGTCCTAGCAGGGTTGATTTCAATGATACCAGCCCAGGCCTTGCAGCTAGAGAAAGAAGTTTAAAATGTATCAATTGTAGTTAGCAGGTATTTGTGATTCCTGTCTAAGGCTTCTTGCTAGAATGCTCTGTTGGTCCCTATTTTCCCACTCATGTTAAACAGCCGAGACCCAAAGGCAGGGATAAAAAGAGGCTGGATGATGGAGAGTGGTGATGAACACTGGGTTGGAGAAGGGACTAGCTACTCACATGACAGTTCCCCTCCCACTCTATTCTCTAATATGGGGAATGGGGCACGAACAGGGCTACTCCCAGCCTGGGGAGCCCACAGAGTTGGCTAGAGCTTCAGGTGAGAGATAAGTCAGGATTTGAATCCAGATTATATGACTCCACAATCAACACATCCTGCCATCACCCAAAGAGAGGAGGATCTATCATGAAACTAATGAAGCTTAGCCTTCAGGGACCGTTACTCACACAAGCCCCCTTCAAGGGTCTGAGCAGGGCCTTAGCAATGTGGCCAACACAAAATTTGCAAAAGTAAGATGTTAATAGCAATGGTTAAGAGCCTTGTTTCTTTTCACCCAGCTGTTCTAATACCTTCCCTTTATTGAGCATTTTTCAGATCTGGCTAAGAAGTTGTTGAGCTGGGATACAATCATTCTGGGTTATATTTATGTGGTTTAAACTCACTTTCATGGGTGTCAAAATGGCTTTCAAGAATACCTCTATTACCCACTGTGCTGAGTCATCTGGCATTATGACAAAAAAGTTGTGGGGCCAGAGGTCACACCTGGATATAAACCTGCCCTACAGCATCTGGCCCCAGAAGAATGTAGATTGCGGAGGAGAGACAAGGTGTGAAATATAGGGAGCCAGAAACCAGTCTGTGGAAAATTCTTCATGCATGTTAAATTTTAAGGGGAGGGTTTGGTTATCACTAACACCTGATATGGTAGCAAGCCACCAAGATACACCCCAATGATCTCTGACTCTTGTTATCAAGTCCTTGTTTCAAGTCCCCTCCCACATTATGTCAGAGTCATCCGTGTAATCAATACAATAGAGAAGAAGTGGTATGTCATTGCCAAGGCTAGGTCATAAAGGGCATTGCAGCTCACAGCATCTGTCCTAGTGTCTCTCTCTCATCACTCACTGTGAAGGAAGCTACCCATATCCTGAGCAGCCGTACGGAGAGGCCCGCAGGGTAAGAAACAGATTCCCTGTTAATTGCTATAAGAGTTGACTTGCAAATGTATCCTTTGGTCCCAGTCAAGCCTTCAGATGACTGTAGCCCTGGCCAACAACTTAATTGCAAACTCACGAAAGACTCTGAGGCACAACCACCCAGCCAAATTGCTCCTGAATTCCTGACCCACAGAAACAGTGAGATAATAAATGTTTGTTGTTTTAAGCCACTAAATTTTGGGGCAATTTGTTATATAGTAATAGATAACTAATATACTTAGTAAAAATGGTAGTTTTCTCCTGGTCAAGAATATACTAAATAATTCAATAAAGTGTTAGTGCTTATATATATGAGAAACTTGATAGGGCCAGTGTGGTGACTCATGCCTGTAATCCCACCATTTTGGGAGGCTGAGGCAGGAAGATTGCTTGAGGCCAGGAGCTTAAGTCCAGCCTGAGCAACATAGTGAGACTCTGTCTCTACAAAAAAATATTAATAGAAAAATTAGCCGGGCGTGGTGGCACATACCTGTAGTTTCAGCTACTCAGAAGGCTGAAGCAGGAGGATCGCTTGAGCCCAGGAGTTTGAGGTTGCAGTGAGCTAGGATGACGCCACGGCACTCTAGCCCAGGCAACAGAGCAAGACCCTCTCTTAAAAGAAAAAGAAAAAGAAACTTGATAGAAGTTTTCCTAAATTTGACAACAGTCCTATAATTTGCATGACATCACTAATACACTGTGAAGTTGAGAGAAACTTTTCCAAAGTATCGTTGATAAAATTATTTTTATTTGTTTAAATTTTATTTATTTATTTATTTTTTGGAGACAGAGTGTCACTCTGTTGCCTGGGCTAGAGTACCATGGTGTCAGCCTGTCTCACAGAAAGCTCAAACTCCTGGGCTCAAGTGATCCTCCTGCCTCAGCCTCCCGAGTAGCTGGGACTACAGGCATGCGCCACCATGCCTGGCTAATTTTTTCTATATATATATTTTTAGTTGTCCAGATAATTTCTTTCTATTTTTAGTAGAGACGGGGTCTCGCTCTTGCTCGGGCTGGTCTTGAACTCCTGACCTTGAGCGATCCACCTGCCTCGGCCTCCCAGAGTGCTAGGATTACAGGCGTGAGCCACTGCGCCTGGCCCTGTTCTTATTTTTAAATACTGTATTTCATTCATTCTAAGATGCACATTCTTTGGCTGGATGCGGTGGCTCACACCTGTAATCCTAGCACTCTGGGAGGCCCAGGCAGGAGGATCGCTTGAACTCAGGAGCTCAAGACTAATCTGAGCTAGAGTGAGATCCCGTTCCTACCAAAAGAAAAAAAAAAAACAGCCAAGCCATTATGGCTCTTGCCTATAGTCCCAACGACCCAGACCCGGGAGGCTGAGGCAGAAGTATCACTTAGAGCCCAGGAGTTGGAGGTTGCAGTGAGCTACAATGATGCCACTCCACTCTACCCAGGGCCACAGAGTAAGACTGTCTCAACAACAACAACAACAACAACAACCAAGGAAACTGTGCACCTCACAACCTCCTCACCTTAAAAAAAATGTACATTCCCTCCAATTTTAATATCTTTGATCAATGGCCTGTCAGAGTGTAATTGGCAGGGTTTTTTTCCTCTCTTTTACAATCAATGATATTTTAGATTTGATGAAATATGATATAACTACAAACTATATATAGCATACCAGTCAGGCCAGGACAGCAGCTCGGAAAGCCTTAGGCTAGAAAACCCTTAAGCTATTTGGAGAGCCCTATTAAATTAAAAAAACCCTTAGGTGTGTGGCACAGATAGAAATTGGTTACCAGGAACCTGTTTGTTAGGTCTGGTTGACATGGCAATCACAGAGTGATGTCATGTAAGGTAGGGATTAGAGCTAAGATTCTGAAGTTGTGGCTCCTGACTTTGAAAGGAGATAAAATCCCAAGTACAAGGAGACTCAGCACCCCTCTGCTCTGACAGATCCCTAATCATGGGCTGGCTGGGCTTCCCACACCAAGCTAGCAATTGGCAGAACAATGACAAGAGAAAATAGAAGGTGCCCGGAGTCCCCTCTGCTTCACCATCAAGTGTGTCCTTTCTTAGCAGCAGAACTGTATTCTTTATCCAAGTTAGGTAAAACTTGCAAGCTCAGCAAGTTCTGCTGAGGGGCCTCGCAGTGGGGAACCTACAGATTTGGGGCCACACTTCACCTTCTGGGTCCTTGAGTGTGGCCTGTTGACTGCATCCAAATTTTACAGAACAAATCCTTTTAATAAATGTTAAATATACTAAAGTAGAGTATATTTAAGTAAATTTGCATTTAAAAAGTTAGAAAGGATATATGCTAAATTAATGAGAGCTTATTTCTCAGGAATGAGATTAATAGAGATTAACTTTCTACACTGTATTTCTGTATTATTTAAAATGTATATGTATTTTATGATCAGGGGAAAAAGGTAAAAACTTTGAAATAGGGAAATACAGAATAATGTTAATAATGAAGCGGGGAGGCGACTGATTGTTTATCCTTTTCATGAACTTTTTAATGAGCATGAATTACTTTTTTAATATACAAATTTGTTTTATGAAATAAAAACAACTTCCCCAAAGCCCAATTTCACTTCTTCAAATAAAAATGAACTCACAAATCCTTCAACATTGCATACACGAGAAAAGTACTGTTTATTTCTGAATTAAATTTATACACGGTTTGGATGATTTATTCATTAAGGAAACACTTTGGTAAGAATAAACCGAGCGCTTACTGTCTGGTAGACTCAGTTCCTATGGCCTTCTGGCTTATTACCTCACTTAATTCAAAAACAAAAACAAAAACAAAATTTTATCAAAGACGGCTTCAAGAGCCCGGTAACTTCCTAAAACTCATTCCTCGGAAGGGAAGGGACTCCAAAACCCTGCCTCTCTCCTATCACGTGACCTGTGACCCGGAGACGCCATCTTAGGCATCGCCTCATAGAGGAAACTACGTCTCCCAGAATCCTTCCGCTGCGCGTCGTGCTGGCACTTTTACTGGCCGGGTCTTAGAGCTGAGCCTGTAGCCGGGCGCCATCTTTGACGCTGGCAGTCTTTGGTTTTTCTGCTGTTGCTGCTGCTCCGAGGACGACGGACGGCAGCGATTAAGAAAGAAGAAAGACGTGGCAGCTATCGGGAGTCGGGGATAGTGTCACCGGTTCGGTAAAGTTTCTGTTCTCTGGTAACTAGACCCGTTTTTTTGATTCCCGGGTGGCTTGGGGCCGAGGAGGTGGGGGACAGGGCGAGGGGAGTGGCAGCGGCCTCCCCTCGCCCCTGGGTCGCGGCCTAGCCCGGGAAGTCAGAGCGGGTCCTTCCACCCGCCGTAACGATTCCTGCCCCTAATCTCTCGGCTGCGGCCCTCGCCGGCCGGGCTGAGAGCCCCGGGCTCCCGCTCACTTTTCCCACCCACCCCACCCCCATCCCGAGCCCCACCCCCACGGCGCCTGCTCCTTCCCAGCCAACCTTCCTCCCCTCCCCCACATCCGGTGTTCGCGAGACTGTGGGATCCCGGAGCAGCCCCGAAAGCTGACTGTTGTCCGACTCCCGGAGAGAAAACTAACGCTAGATTGCGTTCTTCTCCGGGCAAGTTTCTCTAGTTTAGCGGACCCTGTCTGCCTAAATCAGACTGAGTGCCAGGAGCTGAATTTACCTACTCTCATTCCTCTCCAGGGTCCCACTACTTTGGAAATTTTCTCAAACTCCACATACAGAAAGCCACCGACATTATTCCGGTATCCTACACCCATTCCCCGCCCTAATTACACTCCCATCCCCGGCCCTCAGCATCGGAGTCAAGAGCAACAGGGACACTTCCGTTCTCCTTGTAGGATTGGTGAAACCATAATGAAGAACACCACCCCCTAAACTCCCATAATCGGTGCGGATTCCTATGGGGAAGGCCTATTTTGTTGACATCTTCCAGGCCTTGGTTCTGGACCTTGAGAAGGAGGCTGTGGAACTAGTGATAGCGATGCTTTTTAGGGTAAATGTGTGTAGGTATTGGGGGCAGGGGAGGGATCAACTGAAAAGGAATGGAAATGGTTTAAAGCTCATATTTCAGTTTCTGCTGTTCATGTAGAGTCCAACTTGTGAGTTACTTATTTACAGGCTGTAAAGCTTCTCCAGTCTAAAAATATCTGAAAACTAAACTTAGGATTAACTCTTGATATAAACAGTAAATCGAAAATGCAGCTCGTAGTCTTGTTTTTAAATTTTATGATCAAAGCAATTTTTTCAGTCACCCACATTTTTAAAAATTGTATTACTTTTAGTTAGAGCTAAAAGGGCTCAGCTAGCATTTGCTGCTGTTAATGACCAGTATGCGGAGTCTGATTTAGTTTTCCAGAAATTTACTTTTTGGGTTGTATTGGCAAATCATAGTCCTAAATGATGAATGTTGAATGATGCACTATGTTTTTGTTTAAATGAAATTTCCTGAAAATAATTAATTTCAGAATTAAGGAAAAATTGATGTTGCTACCAGGAGACATCATAAAAATACGTATTTTAAAAGCTTGAAAGCATTTCAAGTAAATAAAGTTCTTGATGAAGCATAAAGAAGATGAACCTGGCTTCTAGCTGCTACTAACCAACTCTATGACTCTGGGAAAGGGGGCGTCAGTACTTATTTCTATAACATGAGGACACTGGACTGTTTGAATTCAGACCTCAGAAAGTTGGAAGGGATCTTAAAACCCTCTAAGAAAGAGTTTGGGAATGTTCTCCTTTGCTGTCACTTTTTCTCCAAAAATAACCTGGCTTGGAAGTTATTGGTCCAAAGGGAATTTGATTTCCTGTAGAAACTGGAGAAAAGGTAATGCAAGTAGAGAGGGACAGCTGTATTTCTGCTTGAATAATAAACCAACTAACAGATACGAATTTTGGAGACATAAAGAGAATGAGTATATGTCCTTTAAGTGTACCAGTTTCCTCCGTCACTTCTGGCAGAAGATGCAGCACTTTTAGTGGTGCTGGGATTCTGGGATGTGTTCCTATTAATTCTAATACAGATAAAGAAGATGTGGTAGAGGGAAAGATGGTGGCAGAAGGACTGGATAAAGAGGCGAAATTGCCTGCTAAAAAGAAAAGAAAGAAGGGTTTGCGAATTAAGGGGAAAAGACGTCGAAAAAAATTGATCCTTGCCAAAAAGTTTAGTAAGGATTTGGGATCCGGGAGGCCTGTTGCAGATGCCCCTGCTTTGTTAGCATCTGATGCCCCTGACCAGGATGAAGAAAGTCTTTTTGAGAGCAATATAGAAAAACAGATCTATCTACCTAGTACCAGAGCCAAGACTTCCATTGTATGGCACTTCTTTCATGTTGACCCCCAATACACCTGGCGGGCTATTTGTAATCTCTGTGAAAAAAGTGTCAGCCGGGGTAAACCAGGCAGCCATCTTGGTACATCTACTCTTCAACGACATCTGCAGGCAAGGCATTCTCCTCACTGGACCAGGGCCAACAAGTTTGGAGTCACTAGTGGGGAGGAAGATTTTACCTTGGATGTATCTTTATCTCCCTCTTCTCCTGGAAGCAATGGAAGCTTTGAATATATTCCTACTGATCCATTAGATAATAATAGAATGGGTAAGAAACGTGATAAATCAGCATCTGATGCCCTAAGGGCAGAAAGAGGGAGATTTCTCATCAAAAGTAACATTGTCAAGCATGCCTTAATCCCTGGAACCAGAGCCAAGACATCTGCAGTTTGGAATTTCTTTTACACTGATCCTCAGCATATCTCAAGGGCTGTGTGTAATATATGTAAAAGAAGTGTGAGCCGGGGTAGGCCAGGTTCCCACTTAGGAACTTCAACACTTCAACGACACCTGCAGGCCACACATCCCATCCATTGGGCTGTTGCCAACAAAGACAATGGTGCTGTTGGAAATGGGTTAGATGAAGCTGAGACTGAGAGAAATGATCTCCTAAGTGATACTGTACGTGGAGAAAAGTCTACAGGCAGCCAAGATTTAACAGCTGAGGACCTTAGTGACTCTGATTCAGATGAACCTCCTGTGTTAGAGGTCGAAAATAGATCTGAAAGTCCTATTGCTGTTGCAGAGCAAGACACTGTGATACATGCACAGGAGAGAGAAACAACATATTGTGAAAATCCAGTCTCAAGTCAAATAAGTCAGGCAATTATTCAAATGATTGTGGAGGATATGCATCCTTACAACTACTTCTCAACCCCAGCCTTTCAGAGGTTCATGCAGATTGTAGCCCCTGACTATAGGTTGCCATCAGAGACTTACTTTTTCACTAAGGCTGTACCTCAGTTATATGATTGTGTCAGAGAAAAAATTTTCTTAACTTTAGAGAATGTTCAAAGCCAAAAGATCCACCTAACTGTTGACATATGGACCCATGACCCATCCACTGACTATTTCATTGTGACTGTACACTGGGTCTCTTTGGAAACTGCACCTTTTCCTCATAACGGCAGGATCCCCAATTTTAGAAAATGGGCAGTGCTTTGCGTTACAGGTTTGGCCAAAGACTGTTTGATAACCAACATTTTACAAGAATTAAATGACCAGATTGGTCTGTGGCTTTCCCCTAATTTCCTTATCCCTAGCTTCATTGTTTCTGACAATTCCTCTAATGTGGTACATGCAATCAAAGATGGTGGTTTTACCCATGTGCCATGCTTCCTGCATTGTTTAAATATAGTCATTCAGGACTTCTTCTGTGAGCACAAAAGCATTGAGAATATGTTAGTGGCTGCTAGGAAAACCTGTCATCATTTTAGTCATTCCGTAAAGGCCCGTCAGATCCTGCAAGAGTTCCAAAACGATCATCAACTTCCATGGAAGAATTTGAAGCAGGATGAAACTGGACATTGGATTTCTACCTTTTATATGTTAAAATGGCTTTTGGAACATTGCTACTCAGTTCACCATAGTCTTGGTAGAGCCAGTGGAGTTGTGCTCACTTCCCTTCAGTGGACTCTAATGACTTATGTTTGTGATATTCTTAAGCCATTTGAGGAGGCCACCCAGAAAGTGAGTGTGAAGACCACAGGGTTGAATCAAGTGCTACCCCTAATCCATCATCTACTCCTTTCCTTGCAGAAACTCAGAGAAGATTTTCAAGTCAGAGGAATTACTCAGGCCCTCAATCTGGTGGACAGTTTATCTCTGAAACTTGAAACAGATACCCTGCTAAGTGCCATGCTCAAATCCAAGCCCTGTATCTTGGCTACTTTGTTGGATCCTTGCTTTAAAAACAGTTTGGAAGACTTTTTTCCTCAAGGTGCTGATTTAGAAACTTATAAGCAGATTCTTGCAGAAGAGGTTTGTAATTATATGGAATCTTCACCAGAGGTCTGCCAGATTGTGACTTCAGAACCTTCTGGTCCCTCAGTTACAGTAGGAGCTGATGCATTTACCTTATCTATAAAAGAGGGCACCTCCAATTCAGGTCCCATGGATAGTTCATCTGCAGACAGCATTGCCATTGGAAGCAAAAGCTTCATGTTCCCTTCTGCTATAGCACTTGTGGATGAGTACTTCAAAGAGAAGTATTCGGAATTCTCAGGAGGTGGTGACCCTTTGGTTTACTGGCAGAGGAAGATGAGCATATGGCCAGCTTTGACCCAGGTTGCTATTCAGTATCTAAGTTGCCCTATGTGTAGTTGGCAGTCTGAATGTATCTTTACTACAAATAGCCACTTTCATCCAAAACAGATAATGAGCTTGGACTTTGACAATATTGAACAGCTGATGTTTCTGAAAATGAACTTGAAAAATGTTAACTATGATTATTCTACATTGGTTCTGAGCTGGGATCCTGAGAATGAAGTTGTTCAAAGCAATGAAAAAGAAATAATACCTTAATTTCTTTTTCTTTTATCCATTTAAAAGGGGCAACTGTTTGCTGTGTTACTGTATCCTAATTGCTGTAGTTGCTATATATAGTCATATTATTCCTTAAAAAACAAATTTGGGGAAACCTGAAACACAAAAAGGGCTGAAAATCCCTCAGAGGTAATATAATTTTGATAAAATGAAGATTAAAGATTTCACAGTTATATCTCAGTGTAGTTAGCACTTGAAAATTTTGTTTATACTGATTGAGAAGGAAAAAATATTTTTAATTTAAAAAAATATAGTGCAGCATTGATAGGCCTTAGTCTATTTCTGCCTCATAGATTGAATTAGTAATTGGTTTCAAGTAAAATTTCCCCCGATGTGGGAAGTTTGATTTCTCTGAAATCAATGAAATGAGAAAAAAAAAAGCATACTAAGCTGGCCTGCCTCCCCCACCCCTATTTTTCTGTTTCTTTAAAAATCCTGATGCTTACTTATAACTTGGGAAAAAGAAAACCCATAAAATTGTTTTATATTTGGAAAGTATAATTGCCTCCTCATACTGGTCAGCTTTATAATTTCAAATTATTGAATATGATAGAGTTACCCTATATATTTAGGACTGGATCTTATATAAAAGGGAAACATTAGAAAAAACAATTAGGAAAAAATTACATTTAGTCTTTGAATTGGCTTTTGTAACCTTAAAAAAATATTATAAAAATAAAGATCGTATAGGTACTTTTGCATAATTTATGGGAAAGAAACATACTAAAAAGTTTGCAAAACTTGAAAAAGATTGAATGGATATTGTAATGGAAGCCCTGTGAGCATACTTTGACAAACCTAGTATGCATTTCCCAAAGGATAGTTCTCTATTTTAGGTAATCTTTTTAAAAACATACTTAATGATCCATAATACTATATTCTTAACTATGAGGTTGTTTAGGCCAGTGTATTCTTAATGAAAAATAAGGAGTCAATATTTTCATGTGTTAGGAATCATTGGTGAAATGAGTGAATCGATCTCAGTATCTTTAAGGTCCCTTTCCACTCCAAAAGTATGTTTTTGTGATTGAGTGGGAGGCCAGAAAATGATGACTTTTAGTAAAAGTCTATTAAAAGTTTCAGACTGAATAACTAATGTAAGATCCCAATTTTTCCTTTTTTTCATTTTAGATTTGGGGATATTCCCTGCCCAAAAAATTCCTGGAAAATTGACTAGTATTAAGTGTGAGTAAAAGGTGTCCACTTTTTTTTAAGTTTTGATTTTAGTTTTGTCTTGGATAGTATTTGGCAAGATTTAGCGTAGAAATTATGTAGTATTTATTAACGTAAGAATCAAAATTGCTTTGTTACTGGGCTGGTTTCAAAATTTAGAACTCATTTCTATGTATCAAAATAGATTTTTTTGTTTTTGATTTTATTTTTTTTATTTTTTGCAATTCTTAAATGGTAAATGTACCATTGTGAAATGAAATTTCAACTCCAAAAGTTTACCCTTTTACTAGTTGGAGTAAATGATAATTACAGAGTCTTTAGCTATAGCCATCAGTAGTAAAGAATTTGCAACTAGGCTGCATAAGCAAGCCTTTGCAGGGCGAATATTGAATGGCTACCAGTGACACTGGTGTTGGTATAAAAGAAGAAAAAATCTTCCCTTAGATAGAAACTTGCTGTATTTTGACACTACCAGTTTAGAATGGCTATTATGCTGCTCTGCCTTCTACAGCTTGCTGCACCACTGTGTAGTTACTCTATAACTATACATTTCTATCTTTTTTGGTTAAACACTCCCTGATGATGATGATGATGATGATGATGATGATGATGATGATATACATACATCCATATTATACACATTGATGTGTGTGTAAGGATTTCCTTTAATCTTTATTTAGTGGGCTGGGCAAAATTTAGCCTAATGTTAACTTCATGATACTTTGGTATAAGAGTAAGTTCACTATTTTTATAATGAACCCAAATCTAAAGGCTTTTACAGTGTATTTCAAAAGGGGAAACTTATCCAAATGTTTTATTTCCCATATTTGTGTATATGTGTGTGTGTGTATAAGCCAGTTAGTATATATGTATATGTATATTATATACATAAAACACTTTATATTTTTACATACAAGTATGCTTTTATTATACAGATAATAAAGATGGGGGAAGGTTTCTGTTTTTTTCTTAATAGGTGAAGAAATCTTGAAGACCAGAAATTGGATCTTATTGAATTTTGGTGGTTTTTTTCTTTTTTCTTTTTTAATTGTATCGTTCGGCTATGGAAGATGGATCTTATTTTTTTAATAACCCTTTGACTCTCAAGTTCATCTTTAAATGAACTTTTTTGTTTTTTGTTTTTTGTTTTTGAGGAGATAACTAACCTAGCTGTCTCCAGTCTGACAAAGGTTATTTGAATGGACTTAATCTCCCAGTAGTTGGGAGATGTTTTAAAAACACGTCCTGTGTTTGAATTGTGGCTGAGAGGTTTCCTTGGCAATGTGAGGAGGAAAATTTTTTCTGCCTCATTATTATTAATTCATGGATTGAGTGTTGGTTCGACCTACAGGCGTAATAGATTGGAACTCAGTGAAGACACAGACGTTCCTGTTGAGAGCAACCAGCTAATGTAAGTGGGGAAAGGGGCCTTTTCTCATTAAAGGAGTGAACATTTTGGTAATTTAAGGCATAATTTTCATGGTTCAGTAAGAAGTTAAAAGGCTCTTGTCCAGACATTTTTTCCTGTACGTAATTGTTGACAGACTTTGAGTTTTTGGATGGAAACTTTTTTTTCTTTCTTCGTTTTGATTATATATGCACATTGCAAAAAGGTAAAAATGATATCGCCAAGGTGAAATCTCCCTGTGATTCCATCTGCTTGGAGAAAAGCACTGTTAATAGTTTATCACAGCACAGTTCCATGCCCACACACGTAGCTTTGCCTCATCTCTTCAATGACTATGTAGTGTTCCGTTGTATAGATGTGCCATAACTTAATGTATCCCTTACTGATAGACTTTTGGGTTTTTGCCGTTACAAACAAAAATAACCTACCATCCAGTAACAATCTGTGCACATATCTATGTGAACTTATTTCGTTAGAACCAGTTCTTGGATGAGAATTTATAGAATTTTTATATATTACTCGCTAAAGAAGTTGTACCAAGTTACCGAAAAACTAATGAAGTCTTTTTGAAGTTCTTAATGCATCCCTTTTAGTAAAGATACTGATCTTTGGCCATGTTGCTGATAGATCTTTTGCTTGGAAAGGGTTTTGTTTACCCTGAGCTTATAAAAACAGTACCATGCATTTTTCCCCATTTTGTTGAGTGATTATATATTTTACATTAAAGATGCCATCTAAAGATTGTAGTTATATGACACCACCACTCTTCCTCCCATAAGCATGATAGATATTGTCAGATATGGCTTGCCTTTTTGCTGAGTGCAGTAATGAATTCAGAATCTTTTTCAGTATAGTGCTCTAATTAATGAGTTAAAACCTCTTTGCCATCCCTGTTTTTATTCCCTTGAACATTTGTATATGGAGTAGAAATTTATTTTTTCAAATGTCTGGCCTTTTTATTGTTAATTTCAAATTTTTTTTATAAATTAAATTTATTTATGGACTGTCTTAAGTTCCATTGATCTGTGTGTACTTATTCATTTGCCGTTATTACATTTAAACATTGTTATATTTACCACCTAATATGTCAGGTGGAGCAGGGCTCTTCAATTCCTTTTTAAAGTATCTTTATTTTTCTTAAATACTTATGCTTCCAGATGATTTTACAATTTGTCAAGTTCCAGTAATAAACTCTTATAGGAATTTTGAATTGAATTGTATTTGGTATATGAATTATTTTTGGGAAAAGTTAACTTCTTTCATCCAGTACTCCATTTATCTATCCATTATCCAGGTCTTCTGTGCCTTCATAGTTTCATAGTTTTTTGGTTTTGTTTTTAATTTAATGTGGGTCTTGCATACTACTTCATTTTCTTCCTATGTATTTTAGAGTTTTGTGAATGAGACCCTCTGTTATCATCTGAGTGGTCGTTGCTGGCATAAAGGAAATTCACTGCTTTTATTTTCAATATTTTTCATTGATTTTTTAGTTTTCAAGCATATAATCTGCAGGTTCTGGATTTTTTTTTTTGTCTAATCCTTTCTAGTATTTGTGCCATTTTTTTTCTTTATATGCTAGAAAATCTGAAACAGTGTTGAATTATAGTAGAGACAGTTGGGTGTTCATTTTTTGTTTGTCTTGAGTGAGCCTACCTCTACTGCTTTACCATGCTTTATGTACTGATGGTTTCTGGTGATTAAGTGCATTTATGCTAAGGAAGTACCTTGTAATTTCCTAAGGGTTTTTATCAAGAATGTATGTTGCATTTTAGCTTGCTTTGGGTTTTTTTTTTTTTTTTGAGACAGAGTCTCACTCTTTTGCCCCGGCTAGAGTGAGTGCCGTGGCGTCAGCCTAGCTCACAGCAACCTCAAACTCCTGGGCTCAAGCAATCGTTCTGCCTCAGCCTCCC